GGCATTGTCTGTGTTAGGGTTGGGAGAGGACGAGTAGGTAAGTCTGGTTCTTAAATGATTAGCAGGCAAAGGAGAGTCAATGATCCCATTGGAAATGGTTTTGGAGTGGTATGGTAGGGGAGGAAGAAGGCTCAAGTATAAATTCTGTTCCAGGGATTAAAGGAGCAGCCAGTAAGATAATCCAAAAGTCAAAGCCCAAAATTGAGGAGGTAATAATAAGGGAAAGCAAAAGGGTGGCAGTCTTAGTTTGAAAGCAAAAGCAAGTTGGGAGCGGTCTAGATGGCATATAAAGAATAAGAAATGGAAGAACACAGGCTTTGTAATGTGCAAAAAAAAAAAAAAGTAACCAGAGGCAGCATCATTTTATGCTTTCCTCTTCCTTCTGCCCTCCTAGGAGGAGAGATCCAGACACACAGCTCTGTAGGCCAACTATTCTCTTCCCAGTCAAAGACAACAAGGTAGTGGACTCGGGTACCACTTATCTCATTTATAGAAGAATTATCTAGGGTAGGCACAGTTTACCCCAGATTACTAAACAAGTTAGTAACTAAGCAGGGATTAGAACCCAGGTGTTCTGATACCTAACCCACTATTCTACATTTCCTCCAGAAAATCATAGAATCTCCTTATTAGGAAACATTTAAGAAATGATTCATTTTGGATTTTTCTTTTTTAAATCATAGCCCTTTCTAGCAACACAGAAAGGTCTGAATAAGTCATTTCTGCCTGGAGAGCAACGGCCGCTCCTTTACAGATTCTGATGGTGTCAGAGGCTGTATTCAATTGTCCTTAAGCTGCTTCATCTTTGTCAGATTTTTCACACATCAAACCAAGTTTTTTTGGTGTTTATTTCCCCCTATGAAGTAGCAAGGTCTCCTGTGTGGATTTTTCCACACCTAGTAGGCTGGGATGAAAGCAAGGGTGATCAAAAGCATTTAACCCCTGGTGGCAGCCTGGCAGGAAAAAAAAAATTAATGAAATTTAATGGTGGCTTTCACAGCCACCAAGCGTTCTGTGGAGACCGTTCTCTGAGACTGTCACATCAGATGAAGACTTGCCCTCCCTTTGAAGGACTGCAGAGTCCTTCTTTTTTGTTGACCTATGTTAGCAGGCATTCTGGAAAGTTTTTAGGCAAGGACAGTATGTTTTAGCTTGTTGGCAGAGTCAATGGATCCTGCCAGCTGGAAATGATGTCTCCCTCCTATCCCATCCTTTCCAGCTCTTTCACTGGTCCTCTATTAGGCACTGATCAGTATGATGTAGTAGAAAAAGCCCTCAAGTTGAAATCATAAGGTATGGATAGGGTAGAATCCCAGATCTTCTGCTTTACCTCTGTGACCCTGGGCACGATCAATCAACAAGTGTTAATTAAGTGCCTGATGTGTCCTAGGTACTGTGCTGGATATACAAATATAAAAATGAAAACATGGCAACCCTCAAGAATCTTATCTTCTATAGAGGAGACAACATGTACATAAGGTTTTAGGATCATAGATTTAGAACTGGAAGGAACCTTGCAGGTTGTCTCGTCCAACCCTCTTACTTTACAGAGAGGGAAACTGAGGTTCATGTAAATAATAAAGGACAGAACTGCAATTTTAACCCCAGCCTTTGATTCCAATATGGGCATCAGGAAAAAACTCGTGTAGAAAGTGGTGCATGAACTTAACTTTGGAGAAAACTAGGGACTTTTAAGGCAGAATTCAGGAAGGCACGCATTCCAGGCTTGGGTGGCAGTTCATGCAAAGACAAGGAGACAGGAGATAAGGTGCTGAGGAATAGCAAGGGGCCAGTTATATAGAGGATGTGAAGAGGGAGTAGAATGGGTGTGGGGGGAGTGTGAAATAGCCTGGAAAGGACGGTTAGAACCAGGTTATGAAGGGCTTTAAATGTCAAACAGAGAAGTTTATATTTTATCCTAGAGGGAAAGAATAGTCACTGTAGTTTCTTGAGCTGGGGAGTGATGTGATCAAACCTGAGATTTAACCTTACTTTAAAATCCTGTGTCTTAAATGCCAAGTTTTTGTATTTGTAAACAGATGATTGCATTTGTTCCTAGAGGCCATAAGAAGACAAGTGAGATTAGTAAATTGGGGCAATGGTAAATCACTTCTCTCAGAGCCTCAGTTTCTTTATCTGTAAAAGGAAGGAATTACATGAGATCAACTCCAGCATTCTTTATAGTGCAATCATCCTAATAATTGCCTTTTGCCTTCTAAAAATCTGTGACCTGTAAATGAGTAGATGATGAAGCACAGTGTGAATTCTGAGTCTGAGTCCCTGAGAATCTAGCACTTTAGTTATTTATGTATGTATCTTTTTTTCAAGATTGTAAGCTCTTTGGGGTGTGTTATAATCAGTGGTATGCTGATAAATATTTAACAACCAGCTTTCTGAAAATATATGACACACTTTTAAATTTAAGCTGTATTATTTAAACTTTTGCATCACTTCCTTAAGACTAGACAATCAACAAACAATAAATCAAGCTCTAGTTTGCTTGTTTCTGAGGTTTAAATCTGAACACTGAAAATTTAACAATCAGCTCACATCTTTCCCTTACTCATTGAATCCTCTCGTTTTCTTTGCTTAGGGCTTTACACATGGCAAGTGTTCAATAAATGTTTTTATTAATAAATTTAAAATTTTTAATTGTAAATTTAGCTTATATTTAATTGTAAATTTAAATTTTAAAATGAGGCTTTGAGGAATCAGAAGCAACTAGGATATTAAGGTGTAGAAAACTTGTGATATGAGCAGAATAGTTAAAGAAAGAATTGGCCTGGCTATTTTCAAATCTTTGCAGAATTATGAGGCAGAAAAGAGAGTATACTTTTATTTTGTCCAGAAGGGAGGCAAAGAAAGGATTTGCTAGTGATGAAAGCTGATGAACATTGGCAGGACTGCCTTGAGAAGTGATGAGCTCCTGTTCCTGTGTGATCATTCAGCTTGTCAGTGTTAGGTCCATAGAATCTTAGAACCTTGGATTTAGAAAGGACCTTAGAGGGTCCCTAAGCAAGTCTCCTCACTAAGGCAGGGATCATCTCCAGTGCTTAACACAATGTCTGGCACATGGTAGCACCTTAACAAATGCTTGCTGACTTGTTGACAGCAGCATACTTGACAAGAAGTCAGCAGGCATTTGCAATGACAGGGAGGATCACTACTCCTCAAGGCTGTACCTTTTGTTACTCTCTTGCTCAAAAACCTTCCTTAATTCCCTTCTGCCTTTATGAATAGCATGCCAATTACTTATCCTGGTATTCAAAGCCTCCCAGTCTGTCTTGAGCCTACTTCATTTTACATGATTTCTCATTCATGAATTCTACATTCCAGGTAAGCCAATCTAGTCACAGTTCCTGGGACTGAACTTGCCCTCTTCCACTGGCATGCATTTGCTCATGCAGTCATCCATGCCCTCAACACTATCCCAACCTGTTGACGTCTTTATCATCCTTCAAGTCTCACCTAAAGTACTCACCTCCTCTGCAATCCCTGAGCCCCTCTACCAACTAGATGTGATCTACTCCTTCCTATTTCAGTCTGCCTATGTCACTTTCCTGCTGAAGAAACCACAGTAGCTCCTTCTTGCCTCTAGAATAAAAAGCCACTCCTCTGTTTGACTTTTAAACCCCTTCACAGTCTGACTCCAGCCTACCTTCCTAGGATTATGGTACACCACTCTCCTAGCCAAACTGACTTGTTACTGTGATATACACATTCTATCATCTCATTATCTTTGTTCCCCAAACTTAAAATGCATTCCTGCCTCACCTAAAACTCACAGAATCTCTAACTTCCTTCAGAACTTAGCTCAGGTGGGACCCTACAAGAAGCCAATTGTGAGCCCCTCAGGGGAGAGTGTCTTTTCCTGGAAATGATATTATAGATATAGATGTGTGTACAAATACATATTTATATGTATATAAATATATACAATACGTATATGTATGTACAAATACATATATACATCTATATGTGTATATATGTTGTTGTTTAGTCATTTTCAGTTGTGTCTGATTCATATGACCCCTTTTGGGATTTTTCTTGGCAAAGGTACTAGAGTGGTTTGCTGTTTCCTTCTCCAGCTCATTTACAGATGAGAAAACTGTGGCAAACAGAGTTAAGTGACTTGCTCAGGGTCACACAGCTAGTAAGTGTTTGAGGCCAGATTCGAACTTGGGAAGATGAGTCTTCCTGACTCCAGGCCCAGCACTTTATCCATTGTGCCACCTAGTTGCCCTGTATATATACCATACGCATATATGTACACACATGTATTGTGTGACCTCCAGTTGGTAGTGTCCTTCCTCTAGAAATAATATATGTATATATATATAACTACATGTACATATACTTACATATATGTACATATTATATATACACAAATGTGCATATACATTTGTGTATGTTTATACACAGAATGTCCCAAAAAGCCTTAGTGCAGTCATAAATTATTACAGCTGAAAATTTATATATATATGTATATGTACACATACATACATATGTGTATGTGTGTATAAGTTAATTTTCTGTGTACGTGTTTTTCCATCTAGTAAAATACAAGCCTCCTAAAGGTGGAATCTGTTACCTTTTTGTCTTTGTATCCCCAGAGCCTAATATAATGCCTGGCACATAATCAATGCTTAAGAATTTTTTTTTTTAATTAATGGATCAGTGGATGAATGGATAGATAGATAGGTGAATAGATGGATGGATGGATAGATAGAAAGAGGGATGAAGGGATGAATATTTCTCCTCAGATGTCTGGAGATAAAGAATTAGAAAGTCAAATGTGTGTGCTCCTTCAGTATCCTGTTTGTTTTTGTCCTTCCTGCTATTTTGTGAAGGTACTGAGACCTGCCCAAATTGCGCTTTCTCTTTCTTGTGGGTCCCGCCTTTACCACAGGAATGCCGCCAGATGAGATTCTTCTGTTTGCGTAGCTCTGTTAAGGTACACCAGTGGTCACCAACGTTGTCTCCATTGTTTCCATTACCAGATTACGCTAGATTCGAGGCAAAAATCCATGACCTACGCGAGCAGATGATGAACCACAGCATGAGTTCTGGGTCCGGCTCCCTGAGAACCAATCAGAAACGTTCACTCTATGTCAGGTAGGCTTCTTGAATCACACTTGCATGTCTCCCATTTTCCTTCCTACTCTGGGAATGAATGGAAACCATCGTGTGATGTTGTAAAGCTCCATCCTTACCTATGTAGTATGGGGTGACATCTGTAGATAAGCCCGACAGCTAATGATGCAGCAATGCCAAGACTTAAAACTGAAACATGGCCAGTCATCTTTATCTGATAACCATTTGAGAGAGATTTTTGAAATTCCAAAATGTCAGTTAATAGCCCACACAATAGCTTAAAATAATTGTGATTTGGGGTTGGCTCTTACATGACCCTCTCCTTCACTTTTCTGCTATCATTAAAGGTGCAAAGCATGCAACTTGTCAAGCTTTTGAGCTCAAGGCCTTGTCAATTATTTTCTTTGGCAAATGAAGGACTCTTGTTAGGGTGCAGATTACTGTCCATCCCTGTCCTGTCTGTCAGATCTTTGCTGCATGGCCTATTGCAAGATTGGCATTGTTCCCATTTTCTTGGATTGAACATCAACTTTCAAAGTGTGAAAAGTCCATAAGTGCCGGGGTGTAAACTCCTCCCCTTTCCCAGTATGAACTGAGTGTTCTATGGGATTGGAATTTGGATCAGACTTTCAAGGAAGGCTTTCCTCTTAAATTAGTTAATCTTTTTTAGTGTTGTAGGGTTGGTAGAAAGCAGACCAGAACATGGTATAGGGAAGGAGTGGGAAGAAAGGTTTTAAGTGCTGGCAACTTACCAGTTAGAAAAGAGAATGAAGACAGCCTTAGGTTGTCTTCAACAGCCTTAGTTGCCATTCTTGGGAATTCTTTTGGCCTTCTTGGCAAGTATTATATTTACTCTGGTGTACTGATGGGAAGTAGAAAATTTGGTTCTTTGGGTTTTGCTTATATTCTTAAAGATTCTTGCTGGCCTAAGGAGGAGGAGATTCATTTCCCTGTGACCCTCCAAGAGACCTCCCTTATACACTGCTCATTGGTCAGACTCTGTAATCATTTCCCCTTATCAGTCATTTTCTAAATGACAAAATTCATTTGGTTCTTTGCTGACAGAGCTGTGTAATTTGCCACGGGGGACAAAAGAATCTTGAGTTTTAAATGCATACCAGGATTTGTTCATCACAAATGGTAGTACATCCCCACTCCCCTATAACACGCACCTCACCATCTAACACACATAGACCTCTTAAACTGACTTGAGAAATATTTGTAAGGACCATGCATACCATTCTTGCCAATTTACCAGTGTGCATGTTACCCTTGAGGTCCCTCCTTCATTTTAAGTGTCTAAAAATTGAGCTGCAAAGGGGGAAAAAAGTGAATAGCAAATATAACTAATGGAAATGGAATTTCCACACTTAATTTGGACGGGGAGAATGTTGGCTGTGCTACGGTTAAATTACATATGGAATCCTCGCTTAATCCTAAATATTTTTTGCTGCTGAAGTATAGTATCCATTGGCCCTTGCTTTTCATTTTCTTTTACTAGCATGAGGTGCTTGTTATAGACCCCAGATGACAGTTCTTTAATTAACATGTCATGTTGGTTCAAATGTGGCTATAAAGTTATCTTTTGTGTGTATTAGGTAGGCACAGCAGGGGGAAGAAGGGAGCAAGAATCCTGAAGCCTACAGGTTCTCTGGGGCCTTAATTTGCTGGGCCCCCTGACACATAGAGAGCCCCTTATTAATCGAAGGGCCTACAGAACCTCAGAACGCCTGAGGTTAAAAAATATATATATATGTCGCCCTTGCAAATTTGGCCGGCTGCTTTTCAGAAGATTATCTCGATACACCTCTGTGTAATCTGGGCAAGGAATGCTGATAATCGCCCCAGAGCCTGTCTGTTGTAGCAACATCTCAACCGTGATGGGAAGTTAATGACCCCCATTTGTCTCCATATCTTCTCTCCTTGAGTACTGTGGTACCAGTGCTCTTTGCTCTACAAGAATATTTCTTTTTTTAGTTGAAGATGTGTTTGCCTGAGGCATCGAATTGGGAAAATCCAATAGGTTAAGTGCAGAAGGCAGATAAATCATTTAACTCCCAGATAATGGGAAAGGAGGGCTAGAGTAAAGATTGGAGGGAGGACCAAATTTAAAAAAAAAGTCATTGGCTATTTTTAAAAATGAAAAAGTATGAAAAATTATCTTTAATGTACTATAAGCAGATTGTTTAACTATGTTGGTAATAGCTTAGTCATTTTCATTTTGTTATGGAAGATTAATAAAATTAAAGCAAATGATATGAAAATGCTATATGGAGATAATGTCTTTTAGTTGGAAATGATATTACTGAGATGCATAGGCTTTGAATCTTTAAAAATAATATGGAAAAGTAGTACAAACAGTGAGAGGAAGATTTTAAAGTAATTGTATTTCCTTGGTAATGTTCATCTTTGGGGAGATTCTGTCCCCAAAAATTTTTTTGATAGTTCAGGTACTTTGAAAAGTTCTGACATAGTTCATGGAGACATCTCCCAAATTATTGCTCTTTAAAAATCATTCCCTTGATATAGTGGGCTTTTTTTTTCAGTGGTTTATTTTGTTGTTGTTGTTTTTGTTTTTGTGGGGAGAGGGAAGGGAGGGAGGGAGTTGCTTTCCATGGCCCATCTCCTTTGTGAATAATGACTGATGTATAGAGATGCTACGTTTGGCTCACACACTTCTATTACACTCCAGAGTGGTCCCTGCTAGGGCACTGGTTATGACTTGTTTAGGTGGAGACCAAGTGAAGTCTTGTGTCATTATAAAGTGTTGGAAAATATAAGTGAAAGAAGGTAAATGAAGCTGTATGACATGAATTGAAAGAGAATTTTTTGCAAAGAAAATGTGTTCATGGATATAACTTGGCCCAGCTTGCTTCAACTAGACTATTAACTAACTAGTACCTGATGACTGTATTTGTTTTGCTGCTTCAACTTCATGTTTCCTCAAAGTGACCCAAATCAGGGTTTCTGTAGTATACAAGAGGTGAGAGACATCCCCAAGTCTCTTCAAGAGTGTTCTTGACATGTTGCTTAGAATAATAGAATTTTAAGATCAGAAGGTACCTTAGAGATCACCTTGCCCAGAGGCTCTTAACCTGGGGTCCGTGGAACACCAAAGGTTCTTGGAGATGAATTTCAATGGGATCCTTGAAGTTGGATGGGATCACAAAAAAAAAAAAAATTACATTTTTCAATATCAAGAATTTTATTCATTTAAAAACATTATTTGGGCCCATGACACACAAAAAAAGTTAAGAACCTTTGACCTGTCTCTAAGTCCTACACTCAGAGTCAAAAGCCTTGGGTTTTAATACAACCTATGACACTTTGTGTTAGTATGACCACCAACCACAGGCAAGTCATTTTTACTGGCCTGGGCCTCGGTTTCTTCGATAAAAAGAGGTAGATATGACTAGGTGATCTCCAAGGCCCCTTTTACCTCCAAGGTCTACAACTCCACAAGTACCCTCTGCCTACCTCACAGGGTTGTTGTGAGGAAAGGATTTTGTAAACTTGAAAAGCACTTGAAAAGTTTGTTGTGGCTCAACTCCTCTACCATTTTACGGAAAAGGAAACTGAGGCCCAGAGAGGAGATACAGATTTTGTCATTGTCAAGAAAGAGTTAGTGGCAGAGTCAGGTCTTGGTCCCTTCTCCACTGTACACACTGCTTCCCCCGTGTTCTCTCTCTTTTGAGATAATCACTATCCCACATCCTGGACTTAGTAGAAGACACTGTTTTTAGGTCAAGGAAGAGGGCAGCTCTCTTGTTTTCATCACTGAGAAACAATTTCAATTAAAAGAAGCAAAAATAATAGTAATAATGATGAATCAGCTTAAACCTGACTGATGATTTGGAATTAGGCAATGTGGCACATAGGAGGTACTTAGTAACAGCAATTTGTTTATTGATCACTTGAATCTGAGTAGTTTGTTTTGTTGGTTTTAAATGCCCAAGTCTCTGTTTCTCCTGCTCTGTCCCCAGAAGCAGAGATTCTAGAAAATGAGTTCCTAATTTAGAGACTATGAAGTTTTTCTTAAAATATATTTTGAAAACTCTGTTTCAATATAATTTGTTTCCATTATAATCTTGTGTTTTATTTCATGCATTTAAAATTTTATTATGAGAAAGGGTCCATTAGGCATCACTAGACTGCCAAAGGTGTTCATAACACCAAAAAAAGCTAAGAACCCTTGCTGTAGAATTTGTAGTAAGATAACCAAGAAAGCATGAAGACTCTTTGGCCTGTGTGAAGCAACTTAGTAGTCTCAGAATGGTGTTTGTACCCCCCAGAAACCTCTATCTCCTTTAAGAGTGGCTCTCCCCACCCTGTACTCCACCTCCTCCCCTCCCCGGACTCCCATTGGGAGTCCCATTTGGAATGATTCCACACAGCTTGTATGTAGATGCTAGCCTGCTCCCCCACCCAACCCAGGTCCTCCTCAGTGATCCTCCTCAGCCCAGTGTATCAGCCTGTTTGCCTGAATTACCCATGCCGGGCACTTTTCCCTTCCAGAGCGAGGCTCTTTCTGTGGCTGCCCTGAGGGACTGTCATCCCAGCTGCTTTCCAAATGCCAAATTACCAATCTGGTTGTATTCCTCTTTCCTCCCCTTGCCTTTTGTGTGGATTGCTTGACGTGCTTTGATGGTCTTGTACAAATAGAAATGACTCTTGATATGCATAGCACTGTACATGTAAAATGGGGTGGGGCTGGCATGTTTCATTTATATCTTGACTCTCTGTATTGTGCATTTCCTGCTCTGTGACTCTCATATATAGTTGTAGCATCTTAAAAGTAAATAAAAATATGTTGAAAACATTAATAAACCTTTTTTTTTCCAAAATGCTTTACAAGGCATTAGCAAATTCTTCAATCCAGGAAGCCATTAAGCTTCTGAACCTACAGGATATGGATATGATTGGGGGAACCTCCAGACTGGTCTGACCAGTTGGGATTTTAGGAGCCCCTTTTACCCCGCATTGCACACCCCAAAATGTCTATGCTAACTACTCAAGGTTGC